CAAACAAACAGTGGCTCTGTCCCAGACCCTTGGGCTAGACCCTTTCCAGTCTTTCCAATCAGATGAATCGGGATCAGCTATGAGAGCTGCTCACCACCCTACAGGAGCCCTGGTTTGCCTGTAGGAGGGCAGGGAAGGGAGTAGAGACCTGGATAGGGGGAATGGGGAGACAGGGTACCCGCAGCCCCCTATTAGGCCATGGCTTTCTTTGCAAATTTGCTGCACTCCAGCCAGGGACCTCCATACATGTGCCTACCCATAGTGCTCTATTTTTTGTAATGATACAAACTTTGTAGCACTACAAAATTAACAAAAATGGACAGCTTGAAACCCTCTGGCTCAAGTTTGTGGAGGGGAGAGGCGCAGCAAGAGAGACCTAAAGGTAGGTGTATACTACAGACCACCACATCAGGGGGAGAAACTTGATTTGGAGTTCACCCGAGAATTGACTGAAGCTGCCTGTGCACATGACATGGTCATCATGGGTGTTTTTAATTATCTAGACATCTCCTGGGAGGAACACTGGGCCAAGTTGCAAAGGTCACGATCCTTCCTGACTTGTGTTGAGGAGCTCTTCCTGACTCAGGAGATGCATGGGTCAACCAGAGGTGACACTCTGCTAGACCTGGTCCTGACCAAAGGAGACAACCTGGTGACCGACTTAAATATAGAGGGAAGTCTGGGTGACAGCGACCATTAAACCACCATGTTGACTGTCCAACGTAAGGCAGACAAATCAGATAGCCGGATTGAAGTCTTGGTCTTCAAAAATGCAAATTTCAACAAGTTTAGGTTACTAGTAGGGCAACTGCTCTGGGACCAGGAACCAAAGGCAAAAGGTATGCACAAAGAGTGGTTGTTCCCTAAGGATATGATCCTTGCAGCACAAAGGAAGTCCATTCCCATGCAAAGAAAAGGTAACAGAAGGGCTGGAAAGCCCTCTTGGCTAAACAGGGAAATCATGGTCCTCTTAAGAAAGAAGAAAGAGGCTTATAAACAATGGAAGTTTGGGATGGGCCCCAAGGAGAACTATTCCACGACAGCCCGCATTTGCAGGGAACAGATAAGACAGGCTAAAGCGGTGACTGAACTTAGATTAGCAATGGGAATCAAGGACAACAAAAAGTCCTTCTTTTGGTACATAGAGAACAGGAGGAAAACAAATGGGAGGGTAGGGCCAACTGTTCACCAGGGCACCCAAGGGGAAAACCAGAAGTAATGGCCACAAACTCCTGGAAGATCGATTCAGGCTCAACATTAGGAAAAACTTCTTCACAGTGTCCAGACTGTGAAATAAGCTCCCTCCAGAGGTGGTACAATCATCTACCCTGGAAATCTTAAAGAGGAGACTAGATAGTCACTTTTCTGGGGTCACCTAACCCCCCGTTCTATTTCCTGCATGGTGCAGGGGGCTGGACCCAATGCCTTCCAAGGCCTTCCAATCTATGAATCTATGAATGTCTGCTTAAACCTGTATGGTTTAAGCAATGTATGTACCACAGGGTACATACAGATGTTCAGGGAGGTTAGAAGGAGGTTAGATCGTGTTAAAAATGGCCAACCAATTTAACTTAGTTCACCCATGTGCAGACCTTAGATCGACCTAATGAGGTCGATCTAAGTGAGAAATATACAGAAGTTCCAGGAAGATTAGATTGGTCAAAAATAGCCAACCAAATCTAAATTAACTGTACCTTGAAAGTGCACTGATTTAGGTGATTACAGCAGGATCAAACTAACTGAATTTCTGTACACATTCCCAGCATAGCCCAAGGACTGGGAAAGCCAGTCACTGACCCCAGCCCTGGGGCTGCACTTCTCCTACACCCCCCCCCCCACCCCCACACACGCCCTTTTTCCCCCCACCCCAGCCCCAGGCTATTTTTACCCCTCCTGCCTCCTTCCCAACTCCCAGATGGGCAACCTTCCCACACAGCCCAGCCAGTCTCCCCAGAGCCCACCAGACCTCTTGATCCTTCAACTTGCTCCTGGTGCCAATTTTGCCAGTGTTTACTAGTGCCAAGAGCCAATGAAATAAGGGGTGGTGGGCAAAGGGGTGGGTAGGATCAGGGCAATATATTCATCTCAGGGCAGGGGGTCCAAGAGATTAAAGAACTTCGATCCTGTCAACCCCCCTGTCCCCTGCAGATCCCATTAGCACCTCCAATCCTATCAAACCCTCCTGGACCCCATCCCTTTTGTGGACCCCGATCCCCCAATCCCCTCAAGACCCTCCACAAACCCCATCCCAGCCACCTCTCCCCTACCCCAACTTACCTTAGATCAGTGACCATTTTTAACCCGATCTAACCTTCCAAACTTCTAGTTGTAACTTTTGTACAAAGTCATATTTAAGTACTTCACTGGATCAAGGCCTAAGTTTGGTCTGAGAGAGAAAATAACAGAAGTGTTCTCTCCCTTACTGGGCTCTCAGCTGTCTCTTCCCATATATAATGCCTGCATTTTTAGATTACAGGATTTTTGTTCAGTGAAATAATTTACTGAAAATATTAGATTCCTGCAGTGAAAAAAAATGAGATATCTCTATTCTCCATTGCTAGAAAAAGTGACAAAATACTGCCAAAGGTTTTAGTGCCTCCCATTAATGACCAGACAGCTTGGTCAATATAAAAAGTACAAACAAAACTTTATCAACACTTGCTTTAGAGAGGCAATTAACTACTTGAATAATGAAAAGCATCACTCAGAGCTGAAATAAGGAATGAATGCCTACAAATGGAGGGAAACAGCCATCATGTAAGTAAGCAGCTATTTTCAAGATCTTTATTTTAAATTTTCCTTAACTTCTATAATTCTCCATTAAAATCTATGAAATATGGTCTTCTTCCTTACACAACACAAAAATCGTGTGGTTGATGTTTATGTCCCCTACAGGAAAATTATGATAAATGATGCTATATGCAGTATTTAACTCTAGTAATTTTTAGAAGGCAACATATTTCCTGTACTTTATATGATACACAAGGAGAATTAACAGCAAATATAAAAGGTGTACGATGCCAATTTGAGACTAGATAAGAAGAGCAAAACCACTGTCATTCTTGCACAATGTGAAAATAAAGCATTCACCTTTCACCATGCAAGTTAAAAGCTTATTGAGTCAGAAGGAATGACTAGAATCAATTATTGTTCTGTCTCACTGACTGAAGAGATCAACAACAGCCTATAGTATAGCTGAATATAGGCACGTTCCCCCTCTGATCCTTAACATGCTCAGCTTCAGCATTCATTTTCTTTGATGAATTAGAAAATAATTTAAATGTGAATAACGGTGCTATAAGTCATAGACCTCAAATTTCAAAATCAGGCAATCTAAGCACTTTATCATGTTACAGTTCATGAATTAAATAGAACACCACACGTTTCAATGCTATCTCATTTTCTAGCATCAACAACTTTGTTCCTAAGAAGAAGCACAAGTTTCATTTCTGCCATTAAAACCAGAGGTTAACCATTCTCTTTTCCTAGCTTACAAAGGTGACACATACTGATTTTCTCCTAGACTTTCCCCCCTAATGTGACTATTACAGGCCACAACTAGATTTGTGTGTATGCCTTAAATATATCTTTAGCATGTTCAGATTTAACCTTTAAAAGATCACATTTCCATCCAGTATTCAGAATGAATGAGGTTTTTTCCCCTGTCTCTGAAGCAACTAACTCCATAAGTAATAAACAAACTGATTTATGAATGAAAAATTAGAGTTTTGTATAGCTTTATTTTACCCTATGATGCATTAGGCATTGAGAAAAGTGAATCAATTTAAAAAATATTAGTCAAAGGATAAAAGTAGCTCTCAATGAATACATGGTTTTAAATTGGTAAATTTTGTTAGTCCTTCCAAATAGATGAAAAACTACAACAGGTATGCATATCTCGATCTTGAGAAATAAAGTTGTAAATTTCCTGGATTAAGTTCCTAGATGAAATAACTGGGGCTAGGGCCTGAAATTACACATAAACCGATATAAGTGATTGGAAATCAGTTCAAATCTGTAACACAACAGAAGTTCAGTGCACATAAACCACTTTCCAAATGGCCAAAACTAGTTTAATATAAACCTGGATGGATGTAGTATCAGACTTAGCTGATTTAGGTTAAATCAGTTTATTGAACTTCTGTTCCAGATCTCCTCCAGATTCAAGTTAACACAGTCCCCCAGCATCCCAGGATGCTTTGCACCTCCCCCACAAGCCCTCACCCTCACAGGGTGGGCAGGCTAGACTTGGCCCAAGCTGTCTGCTCCAGCCAAACAGGGAGGCATAGTCTAGTACCCTCCAGCTTCTGGCCTGGGCCACTGCAGGAATGTGGCTGCATTTCCAGAATCAAAAGTTAATGTCTGTTCACCTGCTCATCATTCAATCTACGCAGTTTAGACTAACCTGTGAAGATTGAATCAATTCAGCCTTGGGCTTTTTGACTGGCTATACTTTAAAGGTTCACCCCTGTAACAATTTTAAGAAGCTGAATGCTTATGCTTTTTAAGTAGTCCCATGAATCATAGGCTTTACTTCATTAAAGTAAAGCCTAATCTGTGGGTTCAAAGAACACACCCCTGACTAGTTAATTTACCTTCAATAACCCTGATTCTCCAGATAAAGAATTTCAGAAACAGCTTGAAACAGTCGACTAACCAGGGGGTTGGGACTTCTTGTAGATTACATATATATTGACTTGAGTCTTACTCTTGTCAAAAACTGTCTAGAAAACCTATGAAATGAAATGGCTTTCAAAAAGAAAAGTAGAGAAGCACATGAAAGCCTCCTGGGTAGCACAGAAGCAAAAAAGTGGGAATGCTCTAATCAAGTGCCACAGTTCCAGAATAACTGAACTGAAACAGAATTACACTGAACCCTTTGCATTAGGTAACGGTCCACTAAAACACAAGCTCTGCTAACCAGCAAAAAAAATAATGGCAATATGCTTCTTTTATAATAATCAAAGTTCCTTGGACTCAGTTTAGTGCTGCAGTTTTACCATTTTGTACTGTATAACATGGCTGTGCAACTGGCGGCACATGAGGGGTTACCATGCAGCTCAGGCTCCCATCCAGTCACTACCTCCCTTCTCCAGCCTCGGTTCTTGCTCCCGTTCCTGGGGATAGTGGAAAGGCACTGTGCACTGGGAAAAGCAGGCTGCCCACAGGGCCACAGAGGGGTCAGGTTGCCTGTGCTGTATACATGGCCAGGACAGAGGTGAACCTACACACTGGCTGGAAGAGATGGGCCACTTATACTGCACAAGCAGCAGATTGTGGGAGGACAGTCAGGCTGTTTGCACTGCTTGCACAGCTAAGGGATGCAAGGGGAGGGTCAGGCAGTGGGGAGGACCTCATGGTCTGCAACCCATGTGGTGTGCAGCCCCCTGCCATCCAGAACTTGGACAGACCTGCTTTACAATCTAAACTGCATTTGCTCAAACAGCAGAAAGGTGGTTTTCTGGTGGCCTTTTGCTTATATGCTGTTCCAATTCTGTGTGTACTTACCACCAGCCTATTGGTCTAGATCAGGGGTTGGCAACCCCCAGCACGTGTGTCAAGCATGGCATGCGAGGCCATTTTCCCAGGCAGCGTGGATTTAGCAGCAGCAGGCAGCTTCCCTGTGTGGCCCCTCTGTGTGCTGCCACTCCAGATCGCACACATTGTGGTCCGGAGAGCTCATGAGAGGGCAGCAGGGCCAGCAGTGCAGCATGTGCGGCCCGGAGCAGCAGTGCACAGAGGGGCCAGGCAGGGAAGCTGCCTGCTGCTGCAAGCTCCGCGCTGCCCGGGTCACACTTCCCCTGTGCACATGGGAGCAGCGTGGGCAGAATGCAGGGTTGTGCCCCTTGCTGCTGCCCCTGCCTGCAGGGGAAGTGTGGCCAGGGCAGCAGGGAGCTTGGAGAGGCAGCTTTCTGTGCCCTCCGCTATGCCCTGCCACACTGGGTTCCAATGCTGCTCTGCAGAAGCAGTGGCGAGGGCAGCACAGCAAGGAGCATTGCTGGTATCTGCCGCCTCCCCAGAGCCCAGAGGCAGCTGGGGCCAGGGCTGATGCTGGGGCCAGGGCAGACAGGCAGCACATGTTTGCAGCTGGCCCAGGTACTGGGTAGCTGCAGATAGCCACGGAGCCCGAGTTGGGGGGCAGGGGCTTTGGGTGGGGGGCATGGGGCACGAGCATAGCTGGGGAATAGGGGCTTTGGGTGGGGGGCAAGAGGCAGCAGGGCTGGGGGGTAGGTGCTTTGGGTGGGGGGCAAGGGGTACAAGCAGGGCATCCTGCCATGTAGCCCCTGCCCTTGTTTTGTTTTCTGGCATGCCGACACTCCGGCAACTTCCAAGGTAGGCACTGTGGGGTTTTTTGGCACTCTGGCCAAAAAACATTGCCTACCCCGGTCTAGATATTGTTAAAACTGTAAATTCATAGTTTGCATTGCTACCTTGAACTGTGGAAACATTGCACCATTGGTAACTCTCCTGGTTTCCAATATGCCAAAAAGCAGAAGTGGCCGTGTAGTTTATGGCTCAGTAGAAGTACCAAGAAAGGAACATTCCCTGTTTCAGAGAGCTTACCATTTAACTAGGAAATTAGACACAGGGTGGGGGAAAGGCAAAGAGCCACAGTGAGCAATGTGAGAGATGAAAATATCATGTTTGTTCATGATTTTCTATAATAAGCACATTAAATCAGTAGCTATACGGATGTGAGGATCTATTCAGAAGTCATAGGCTGAAATAAAATGGTGGGTGAAAATCCGCTCCATTCACTCTAATTTCCTGAGTGCCTGTCTCTAAGCATTAGGAGCTAGCACATGCCTTTGGCTGAAGTCAAAAGAGAACATGTGCTTCAACAGTGCCATAAGGGTTTATGAGAGGGGGAAAATATACTGCCTGAAATAGAGCCTTGTAGTCTCTGCATAAAACAAAGAACACTAGGGCATTCACTAAAAGAAGTTAAGGCCGGGCTGCATAAGAGCAAATAAACAAGCAGATGAAATATGGGACTGACATCAGAAATCTCTCCAGGGCTACTGTCTCTCTAGTAATATCATTCTCTTCAACCATCATTGTGCCCTATTCCTATTACCTTTAAGCAAACTTGAAAAGTATAACGAGAGCAGGATCAATTTTATATGGGAGTTTAATTATAACTGCTTTCATTTTGTGTGTGTAGTATTCTCCCCCACTACACACAGACTTTTGCCTTGCTTGTTCCATATTGATGGCCTTTTGGATAGGCCAAGTTAATGAAAATATGGAATAACATGCAATGATAGAAATGTCTAATACAAACTTATGTCAGCAGAGGAAAATAGTAAAAGTGCTATAGCTAAAAAAGGAAAAGCCACTGACAATACTTCATCACAAATGAAACAGAAAAGGGAACATGCTAGCAACTATCTTCCCAGGGAGTGGTATATTAACTTCCAGGTCTTAGACCTGACTTCCATTGTGCTACATGGGCTGAGCCCCAGGTATTGCAAAGATTGCTTTACATTCTGCCATTTCAACAGGATGCAAAATAAGTCCAGTTAGAGTCAAACAGCGAGAGTTTGCCACGGAGAATCCTGGCGCACGAGAGTAATAAAGGAACATAGAAGAGTTCTGTTTTGCAATGTGAGTGAAAATTCTCAAGGAAAAATCCAGGTGTCAACGAGACACCCAGAGATATAAATAGCATTGAAATAGGAGAGGTTAGGAATGAATAGGTAGACTGGTGAATCACAACCATGTGGCTAGCAGTGGCTGCCAAATGTATGCAATGGCATAAGGTGAAACAGAGACAAAGAACCCAGGGCAAAGCACTGTGACAAATCAACTAAGAATGGAAAAAACGAGTGGGAGGAAAAGTCACTGATGAGATACTAAGAATAGGGTTGAAGTGCTAGGACAAAAGTCATCATCTACAAGGCTCTGGAAGAATCCTGAAGTAAAGCAATGAGCTTACTGGTACAAGCATGTCAATTCACAGAATCTTTTATAAGCTCCCTCTATTTTATTATATTGGAAGCACCTGAGCTTTCAACAAGACTGGTAGGCTTGCTGAAAACTGGATTCAATGAACTCTTTTCTCATACTGTTCCTTATCCATGAAAATGCCTTGGGAAAATGGGGCAATTTCTATACAGTCCTTCTATGGTCAAGACAGAATTTAACACAGCCTATACAATATACATTTTCTGTGTACAGTAAATGGTAGAATGCAAGTGCCTTGCATTCTTCACTCCATTATTCTGTTCTGCATATATGGCTATGTTTTAGTACTGTACCCATATTTAGATCATAATTTCCATGGGCATATATAAACACACATAAAGACAAACAGGCTCCCTTTACATGCAGAACTGAAAAAATTTGTCCAGAAGCTTTTCTTTGTAAATCATTCCAGACCTATTAAAGCCATAAGAGATATTAGCAAGTGCACTGGGACCTTTTGTTTTAAGGTATTGCACTCCATTACTTTAACAGACATTACTAATATTATGTACCCCTTCAGGGAAACTTAAAAAAAATACTTCCAATGTAAAATAAAGTTTTGTCTTTATAACAGTTCCAGGTATGCCTCTTCTTTCCTGACCAGTTGGTGTGATGCATTGTTTACTCAATCAGGCAGAGCTTTTGGACACTGTTTTACCTTTTTCGATAAAGGTGACAAATACATTAAGTACAACTGCCTGAGAGTGTACTTCGTATTTTTTCTCTTCCAAATTACAGAAAGATTCATTTATAATACTTGTAGCTGAACAGCCTATGCAAAACAATAAATAAACTCCCTATATCACGGGTGGGCAAAATATGGCCCACCAGGCAATTTCATTTGGCCTGTGAGCACCCACCAATTAGCTTGAAAGAGTCCAGAGAAGAGCCACGTGCATGATCAGAGGTCAGGGAAGCAGACCCTACGATGACAGGCTGAGAGCCCTGGGGCTCTTTAGCCTGGAAAAGTGCAGGCTCAGGGGTGATCTGATGGCCACCTACAAGTTTATCAGGGGTGACCACCAGCATCTGGGGGAACGTTTGTTCACCAGAGCGCCCCAAGGGATGACGACTAGGTCGAATGGTTATAAACTACTGCAAGACCGTTTCAGGCTGGACATAAGGAAGAATTTCTTTACTGTCCGAGCCCCCAAGGTCTGGAACAGCCTGCCACCGGAGGTGGTTCAAGCGCCTACATTGAACACCTTCAAGAGCAAACTGGATGCTTATCTTGCTGGGATCCTATGACCCCAGCTGACTTCCTGCCTCTGTGCAGGGGGCTGGACTCGATGATCTTCCGAGGTCCCTTCCAGCCCTAATGTCTATGAAATCTATGAAACTGTACCTCACCCAGCTCGCATGCTTCGCTCCCACCCTTCTAGCCAGAAGGGGCCAGCCATTATGCAGTTTCCGAGCAGGGCTGCTTCTGCTGCCACTGATGCAGCCGCCAGGGGACCTGCTCAGCTTCTCTGGTGTCCAGCAGCTCCCCCTCACCTCACCAGTGAATTGGCTGAGGCTGCATGCTCCCAGTGCATTGGTTGTCATGGGAGACTTCAACTACCCAGACATCTCGTGTGAAGAGCGCTCGAACAGTCGCAAACCTTCCTCATGTGTGTGGATGAGCTCTATCTGACTCAAGAAGTCTATGGACTAATGAGAGGTAAAGCGCTGCTCGACCTGGTACTGGCAATAGGGGATGATTTAATCAGCGACCTAATGATCAAAGGGAAGCTGGGTGACAGTGACCATGAGCTGATCACCTTCACCATCTACCGTAACGCTGGCAAGTCAGTCAGCAATACAGAAGTCCTCGACTTCAGGAAAGCTGACTTTGACAAGCTCAGGAGGCTTGTCAGGGAGGCCCTAAAGGGCCACAACCCAAAGGAGAGGGGAGTTCAGGATGAGTGATGCTCCTCAAGGGAGCGATCCTGGATGTGCAAGCAAAGTCTATCCCATCTCGGAGGACAGGCAGCAAAAGGGCACAGCAGCCCCTTGGCTCTCCAGGGAACTAGCGGACCAACCTCCTGCATCTAAAAAGACAGACCTACAAAGGATGGAGAACTGGATCCACCTCCAAGGACAAATACTAT